TGTGTGTGTGTGAGAGTGTGTGTGTGTGTGTGTGTGTGCGTGCTTCAGCGTGCTACGTGTCACCTCTGTCTGCAGCTATTCCTGTCCACAATGCTTCACCATGTGACAAACCTACACTGAGTCTATTTCCAGTTCTTCTTATCAACTCTGTGACACTTATGGACTAACAACACTGCCAGGAGTTACAACAAAGAGTTTAACCTTCCTGTCAAAAAGTGTTCCACCTCGTCTACAGCAGCAGCTGCAATCGAGCTCCAGTCATCATCAGTCATTTTCTTTTATATAACGGTCGCCGTGCCGCTCCGCTGATCATTGTTTTGGTTTTTATGTCACTTTTACTGTTTTAGTTGAAGCTGCGATGAACCTGCTGTACCCAACCTGCCCAGAACCAAACAGCAGACAGTTAGGCCGAGGTGAACTCCATCGCTGTCATTTCCAGGGGGGTCAAACAAACACACGACAAACAAACAGAACGCAACAAACAAAGAACGCAACAAACACACGACTTTCAACCAGGAGACCAGTGTTCATGTCCCAAAGTGTCCTGAGTCATTTGAAAAGTTACGTGTTTTCAGCACTTATGTTACTTTATTTACGTTACGTCCTTTTTTAAGCCCAACCGCGATGTTTTTACTGAACCCAAGTGTTTCTGTTTAAAATGTACAAAGTTAACCACACGTTCATTGCGACCAAAGTGGAGCGTCATAATTTTTGCTAGAAAGGGACGCCAAGGCCTCCTGACTAGCGTCGGTATGTGACGAGTCTGGATGAGAAGGTGTTGGTACAAGAAGCAAAGTACAAAAGAGCAGAAATCAAATACAAATACAAATAATGCACCTTTTTTAATTAGAATGTGTATCATATTGTTTGCTTATTTTTCAATGTGATGTTACAGTCGCATTGATGTTACAAATAATATTGTTTATCACAGAAAAGCTGAATTTAAAACGGGTACTGATTCCTATAGTGACTTTGAAAGCGGTTCGATCCCCGGCTCCACTGGTCCATGTTGATGTGTCGTTGGGCGAGAGATTTAACCCCAGGTTGCTCCCACAGACTGTTCCTGCGGTGTATGAATGTTAATTAGTCCTGATGAGCATGTGGCACCTTGCATGCTAGCCCCTACCATCAGTGTGGGTGTGAATGATGTCATCCAGTGTTAAAGAGCTTTGAGTGGTCAGAAGACTAGAAAAGCTCTGTACAAGTAGAGTCCATTTAGCATTTACATGTGAGCTCACCTCTGTGACCCGTAAAGAAGGAGACAAACAAGTGTTAGTGTTTGGAGAAGTGACGGGGGCCGATTTAAACGAGTTCAGCCACATTCAGGGACCCCGTTAGCCCGAGTGTGCTAAGAACGCAACAAAATATCTCTGACACAAGTGCGAAGACGTGAAGCACGAGGTTGTTAAGCATTTATTTTGGGAATCGGATGACGTGATGTTTGAGGACCGTCGTGTCTGAGAGCACTTCAAACTGCTCGCTGGAATGTGCAGAACATCACGTACTGGTGATAAGAACAACGAAGCTCTTTTATATTTACCGTCCAGTCGCTCAAGTTCTTTGGTTTGTGTCGGACAACTCGAGAGGCAATATAGAGCAGAAGAGAAGGACCACTGTTTACAAATGACTTTACCTGAACATGACATCACACTGAGATGACATCACATACATGGTTTGTAACAAGTACTAAGGGGAGACACCCAAGTGCTATTTGGCTTCCTTATATGTATTATAATATTTATAAACAAAACAAAAACAGAAGAAATATCAAACAGACTTAAACCAAAGTAGACAGTGGAACTTCATTTGGAATTGATTTGTAACATTTCTAAATAACTTCAGTTGTGTTACATTGTTGTTGTTTGTTTTATTGCTTTTACCTAAATTGAGTAAGGTCTCCTGGTTAACTCGTTTGTGAGCATCGTGAAGGGGACGCTGAGCTCCTCGTTAACGTGCATTAGGCTCCGGCCTGTGTGCTGCTGCGTTACAGTGACCGTCCCTCCGAGGCGGCTCAGCTCAGTGATGACGGGCTCCGACGGTGATGTGGCGAGACGGGCGGTGCAGCCGAGCTCCACCAAACGGTTCTTATTCCCGGTGAAGAACCTCCACGACGTCAGTGCTCCTTTTAAATACGAACAGAAGATATAACAGAAAACAGGAATAACTGGTTCAGATCTCCATGTATCCCTGTAGTTTTTATGAAGAGTCGCATGTCTGCCATGCTGCTTCCAGGTGAACTTCCTGTCCCACACTGGGGTTATAATCCTGTTTAGGAATCTGATGTTTCAACTAAGAAACGGCTGAAATATCCTGAATTCTTCAAATGTCACTTTTCACACCTGTGAGCGCCACAGAGGCCAATGCGTGACGTCTCAGAGACATAAACCTCCTACGCACCTCGACCGAAATGACAGCTGTGATCTCGAGTACCTGCTTAAGAGATGAAGCAAATATAAAGGCTTTCATTTTATATCATATTGCACACTACAGGAAACAGAGGGATTCTGGGAGTCGAGAAAAGGCCACTTCAGATTATGAGCCTTGCTCTGCAGAGAACAGTGTGTACGTTCTGTATCATGAGTGCGTCCTGAACAACTGATGTGATAATAGTACAACAGAACGAAGTGAACTCTGCAGAACACCGTGTTTGTGACTGTGAGGTCGATGCTGATAGTTCTGTCTGGGTCTTTAGAGATTAAACCAGCAGCCTGTTCAGATACAATCCTGGCAGCTCGCCGTAGAGCTATGCTGCCATCTGGTGGGCGGAACGCAACAATACAAGGCTTTAGTACATTTACTCCAGTACTTGCACTGTTGTACTTGGTTTTTTCCCTTTTCTTGCCGTTTTATGATTCAACATATTGTTCCTTTTACTCCACAACACATTTGAAAGCTGTACTTATCTGTTGCATTACAGACGGCGAAGAGTTTAAACAGAAAACATGTGAACAGTTTCTACAATACAGCATATTGTTATAGATTTAAATGTCTAACAGCACGGCTGCATGAACCTTTTTGTGTGTCGGTTAGTTAAAGGCGGGTTAGTTAACCCTCTTCAAAAACATTTTTTTAAATATTTTTGTTGAACTTATCATTACATCCCGACAGCAATCAATGAATCGAAATCTTTAACAGCAAAAACAGAAAAAAGAACATTCTGTGTCTGTATTCTGAAGTGTCTTAAAGCTGCATTCTCTCTAGTGTCCACCAGGGGGCGACTCCTCTGGTTGTATAGAAGTCTATGAGAAAATGACTCTACTTCTCTCTTGATTTATTACCTCAGTAAACATTGTAAACATGAGTTTATGGTCTCAATCTCTAGTTTCAAGTCTTCTTCAATACAGCATGATGTTCATTTAGTAAATGATGTTCGTAGTGGCAGATGTTAATGAAATAAAAGAGTCGACGAGAGATGAGATCTTATACACTTGAGCGGTTTATTTGCAAAGAGCTAAAGCTGTGGTGTCCATCGTCCCTTTTTATAACCTTCTTTGTGATTGTGTGTGTGCGTGTGTGTGTGTGTGTGTGTGTGTGTGTGCACCTTTTGGCTCAGTTAGATACGACCTAATATGGTGAGATACGTGGCTGTGATGTCGGCTCAACTAAATGTTATCTAAAATGTTGATGATTTCTGGGAAGAGGGCTCGTTGACCCGCGGAGGAATGTTCCCGTGACGATGGAGCCTTGAGATCCAGAGAGATGTGTGTTATTTGTGAGTGTGTGTGTGAGACATGTGGCTACAACATGATACTAAATGACGTATTTGATTCTACCAGATGGTCCATTTCGAGTCAAATAGACCATAGAGCAGGGTATGCTTTAGGGCGGGGCTACTGTGATTGACAGGTCGCTACCAGAGCCGTATGGCATCACTCCTCCACCGTCCAAATACGGTCACTTCTGTTCACTGGTTGCAAAAAAACAAGATGGCGACGGCCAAAATGCCGCTTCTTATACAGTCTATGGTATATATACATTGGTAATGATGATTTTGGGGGAGTGGCTTTGGAGGGAGGCCTGAAGAAACGTTGCTGTCAGTGTTGCCGACTTGGCAACTTTCTAGCTTAGCGACTTTTGGAGCTATGGTGCTGCTAGCTACTTTTACTGGAAGAGTTGACAACACTGGTCTGAGTTTTTAGGTTGGGTAATGCTAAACATACAGCGTATGCATGCCAGTTTACTCAAGATGACCTACCCTGCCTTTAAAGGCAGTGTGCTGTAATACAACAGTATTTACAGTGTGCACTATGTGAACACAATGAAATAAAATACATTTTAGACCCAGAGCTCCACAAGGCACAGGCCAGAGAGACTTGGTAATAATGCAGAACTCATCGTAGTTTATATTGTATTTAAATAGTGCTAAACTCTCAACACGTTATTTATGTACAACATACTCACACTGACCCGGAGCTTTACATTCACTTCTCCTGGTAGTCGAGCTCAGCCCAACTGTGTTCAAGTGTTCAGTAAATAAAACCAGCTCAACGTTTACCAACACATCTGTAATAATAATCCTGTCATGCAAAGTAGCACTCTGCATGATGAGTACTACTTATCCTACTTTAAGTATGTTTTACTTGTAGTAATGAAGTGTGTGTGTGTGTGTGTGTGTATATATATATATATATATATATATATATATACACACATTTGTCAATTCATAAATAAAATGGTGATACATACTGTATATATATATATTCATGGTCAGAGGAGTAGTGGGTCATTTTGCACTATACAGACACCAGAATGAATTATTATTTCTATTATTTCTTTAATCGACCAATCTGCCAAATATTTACTGGATTTATCATTTTGTCTGTACAAACGTCAGAAAATGGAAGATAAATGACTTAAATACATTTCCAACAGATCTAAACCTAAACGTATTTCATTTACTACTACTCCGTTGATTTAGTGCCGACTCATCGCCGCGGCTCTAATTATCATCATTAGTGACACAGAACAAACTTCTGGAGCAAAGACTTGAAACACACTTCTCTTTTCAAATTACCTTTTTTTATTCAAGTTACCGAAACCAAAATGAAACCAAATCTTGACATCTGAGCCCGATGCACTCTCCAGTCCCACGAAACACTACAAAATATACATGTAAAAAAAACTACAGCTAAAGCTAACATCTGAAGCAGTTACCTGAAACCACGATGAGACACTTGAAACACGGTCCGGTACTTTCAAAGACTGTGAAAAAGAGGTAACTCAAAATAATATTCAACAACTTACGGTGGGGATTTATCTACTGCTCTACTGAGCACAATCCAGTACAAAAACCTGAGCAATGGAACTCAGACAGTGGCCTGAAACCACCTTTTATTAACAACATTGTACCCAAATGAAAACAAAAGAAAATGGCGTCTCTCTGTCCAAAACAAAAGTCCTCTTTCTGTCTTTGAGTAAAGACATAAGATGGAGATGAGTAGTGAAGCGGTGCAGCGTGTTGTGGATGTTAGGAGGACGGTGTTGACAGTCTGAAGATGTTTGAGCATACAGCCCCCCTCCTCAGTGTTAGAAACCAGGAAGTGGTCGAGGACTAGCCCACCCTGAGGGGCGGAGCTACGAGGACGACGCCGTCTCCTCGGACAAACAGCATGGGGATGTTTCTCTTGGTCGACTGTAAAGGAGATGAACGTCATTCACAACATGTGATAGAACAGAACTTTAACAGACAAAGAATGTGTAATTATTATTTACACAGTTAATCTGATATCAAGACTTTGGTCTGAAGCTGTTGGTGAGGAACTTTGAAGATGTTTTCACAACATAAAGACATTAGAGATGAATTATGAGCCGTTCACTTTAACTCTAATAATACATCATTAAACTACCGATGACAAGATTTGTTTTATCCATAAAAATACCATCTTTTAATTCCTGATGCGAATTGTGTTTTTATGAAGAAAACAAACACGACAGATGACTTAAAGTAAAAGATAACATTTAGATTGTTTGATGGGTTACAGACTTCAGAGCGGTTTGTGAGAGTCTGGATCCTCGAGGACCAGCTGCTGTAATCAACCAACAAAGGGATCCGTATCCGTCAATATGGATCATCAAGGATCAACAGTTAGTGTCAGCAGCTAAACACGTGATCATGGATCTCTAGAAGTTACATTTGTTATATTTGCTCCCTTCTTTTCTTCTGGGCTGATCTGATCTGTGATCCGTGGCACCACTACTACTGTAACTGTATCACAATAAGCATTTAAAATGCTTCTTTGGAAGGTGAATCACCACTACACCACAGCAGCAGTTCAGTAAGCAGAGAGGAGGAACCATGTGGTACCTTGTACAGTTCTTCATACGTCTCCTCGTCGATCTCCACCGTCGTCACCGTCTCCTCCACGTCACCGAGGATCATGTTCAGGTGCTGATCGTAAGCCTGGGACAAACACGCCACCGCACATGTGAACTGGGAGAAAAGCACACAAGAGACGGCAAAGCGAGAGCAGAAAAAACAGTCCGACTCCCGCTGCTATAAGTGGTGCGTGTGTCTTACATGCAGGCGGCCGCGGAGCTCCCGGTCGTTCCTCATCTTGACGTAGATCCTCTCGTCCAGACTGAGTCTGATCAGATCGAGTGGCTCCTCCACCGTGTTGGTAGACGGTTGCTGCAGCACACGAGAGAGGACGTTAGTTAGACATGTGATGGAGACAGATTTCAAGAACTTTTAGAGACACAAAGAAGCTAATTCAGCGGGCTGCTGCTTCTATAAGTTAGTTGCGATCTTTGGAAAAAACCAGAAGAAATACGTTGCATTGTTCAGCAGACTATTTTAATTAATCCACGGGGTTAGAACAGTCATTGGGGATTTTTAGAAATACCTTCCAAAACTCTGTTCATTTTTTTTTCAGTTTATTTTCTCTGTTTTAGAGGAACAGATGCTGCTGAGCTCTGTGAGTCCAACATGAGGATAAACGAGAAGTCGCATCTTCACCATTTAGAGCGGAGACACATCTTCACTTATCTAAAGTGTCAATTCCAGCAAACATCCATGAAGAAGGTAGAGAGGAGGAAGAAGAGGAGCAAGAATGGGAGGAAGCAGAAGATGAAGAAGGGGAAGAAGAGGAAGGAGCACATAACACCAGGATGCAGATGAGTTTGGGCTTCTCCATCAAGTTCCACTTGTAAACTAAAACAAAACATTTTGGCTCATCTTGCATTAGAGGGTTTACTATATTAGGAAATGACTTGAGAGACAGATTTAATCATCAAGTCTGTGGTAGAAACATATTAAACATATTTAACTTAAACACTGCTGTGAAACAACTATGTAGAGAAAGTAAATCAGACCTAACTAAACGTTAACTAATGCAAAAAGGAGAAACAGATAAGAACCGTTGTGAAGAGTTAATTAGATTACATTGCGTTGTATTTTCCACATTTTATATTTGAGCATTTAACGTTAGTTAACGTCATATCCGGTTAAAAGAATCCATTAAAACATTTGAAAGAAGTCAGACTCCTGTAACCAGTTTATCCAACAAACTAAACAATAAAAAGAAACGTTATTAGCTTTGAGCTATCGTGTATTTCGTCGGTTTAAGCTCTTGACTGGTCAACAAAACGGCATCAAACACGTGTAGTCATTTTTGACGGTAGCATTAAATGCTAATTTAGTTAGCTTTGCAGACCGCTGCGCGCTGTTTACGGAGCAAAAACAAACACAAGAGACACGATAACCTCCCTAAAAACAAGCTCTCGAGTTAAACTTTGCACCGGGCTTCTTCGGGGAGAGTGAAATAAACGCGGTGTAGGAGATTAACGGTACAAATATGACGAGGCTGCACCAACCTGCTCTACTTCGTCCGCCATTGTTTTCGAGTCTGCGTCCTGTAGTTTGACCGGTACGTAAGTTGCCAGGTCCGTTAAAAAAAAAACAACACGCTTTCAGATAGCAGCGGAGGGGACGAACCAGCACTTCTGTTTGGGTGGTTTCTCCAGTGTGACCTGATGAGGCATACTTAGTGTAATGAACAGTGTTAAGTATGCTGTGTCCAACACCTGTTTACATATATTGAGAGTAGTATGCAGAAAAATGGCGCATAAAGTGGTGAAGTCTTGGAATGATTTAGTAAAGTAGCAACAAATGGCATTACATGTCAAAACCATGCAGTCAAAATTATTATTAAGGAAAAGTTAATAAGCACTATAAGCAACATGTACTTAAAGTCTGAAAAGTAAACGTGCCTAGTTACATTTGACAAGTGGAGCACATTTTGATGATAACATGTATGTTCTGTTACTTAAGTACAGTTTGATTTTACTTGCAGGCCTTAATTTGTACTTTTACTCACTGCGCATGCGTGCTAGGAGGATATGATGCAAACCTGGCAACCCGCTACGTGAAGATAAGCAGTACCACCCGTTACTCTCCTCTCTCTCTCTCTCTCTCTCTCTCTCTCTCTCTCTCTCTCTCTCTCTCTCTCT